TCTACACTACAGTGCAAAGTTCATAAATAGAAGTGAGCTCAATGTGTTTAGGATAGCCGTAGCGGCCTACTCTTTTCTTTTTACTAATTAAAATTTACCTTATAGATATATACTATATGCAGAAGTATGGACTATTACTAGGTTACAGGTATACATTACGTAAATGCTAGTTGTTGTAGGCAAGAGAGTTTATTGCAGTAAATATAACTAACAATTTAAATCTTACAACTAGAACTAGGCTTTGGTATACAAATGAAGCATACTAAACCTCGTAAACGAGTCTGCAACTGATACCTTTATTCTTGTTATTTTTTACTACTAGAAATTAACAAGTAATTACTTTGTTTCTTAGGTAAACCATGTGCTAACCTTCTTATACATGTGTAAATATCATGTTTTGAGTACATTTCGATAATTAATTATCAGGATAATATATATGTAACTCCACATAAAAAAATCTGCGATTTTCTAAAAATCCTAAAAAATGACCGTGTGCCCTGACGGTACTTATAAGTCCACTTGTAAACATCGATCTAATACAAAGACAATTTGATTAAAATGGTATGACTAGAAGTTAAACGCGTTTGCCTGACTATTGAAGGTGCCAATAAAAAATATTTGGGGTTGAAAACTTGAAAAATAAGGTAAAACAAAGGGAAATCAAGAACGTGTGTGAGAAATGTACAGAAAAATTTTGAACTACCGATATAGCAAGACATTGAAAATGGCGCCACACCAATAATTTTCAAAAATCATTGATACCTCCGACTACCGGCGACTCAGGGGAGATAATACTATTAATTACTTCAATAATTTTTAAAATTCGTATTAAATTAAAAATAATACACGCACTTAATTAAAGTGGTACTTATAAGTACCGTCAGTAGATAAAGGGTTAAATATTAAATATGTTTTCATTAATATACAAAAGTACTATATACCAAATAGCAATGTCACTCGGATTCTAAAATATGGATTATTAAATCACAAGTATTATTTAAAATCAATACGATTTGGCCATTTATCAAAGAACTTAATACATTCTTAAGCATCATAATAACTACTATCTAACAATCAGGAATTTAACAGTCTAAGCCAGGGGTCTCCAAACTTTTTATCGCGAGGGCCGCATTAAATATAAAATATCAGTTCGGGGGCCAGAGATTCTTCCAGGAATTTCTTCAAGTTGGCGAATCCCCCCGCCCCCGAAGAACGTCTAACCCGTCCCCCTCCCCTCCCCCCAACGTAGTATAATTGATATAGAAATATATACACATTTCTTAAAGAAACCCTGTCGGGTCCGAAAACACACTCAAGGTCCAAGTTTGTTCTCAAATTGTTGTTAGTGTATTTCATTCTTGAAAATGTAGTTCCGAAATTTGGGCAAAAACTTTTTTAAAAAACCTTATAAAAACCCAACCACCCTTCTTTGAACTTGTTTCTAAGGAGGTCATTTGCTTGCAATTCAATCACCTCAAGCTGCAGTTCATCTGGGCAACTGGCGAAATTTACTTCAAATGGGTTTTGAAACAGTTTCATTTTTTCTGCCTTTGAATCCAAGTCAAAACACCGCTACTGAAACTGCATCTGGAGTTCCTTGATAATTTTGCATTTAAATGACTGAGATGTTGCTTTAGCCATGAAGACCTTGCACTGCTGAAAGTGCGTCAAGTTTTTGGCCTGTACTTGTTTCAAAAACAAGACATTTGGATCTGAAAGCCTTTAGATGGTTGTATAGAACAGAAACTACATTTTACTCTCCTTGTAGTTCTAGGTTCAGAACATTTAAATAACTAGTTATGACTGTAGCAAAGGCCAATTTCTATACCCACTCTTCATCAGACAATAATGGCCGTGGCTTGCCTTTACTTTCCAGGAAGTCACCTATTTCCTTGCTTAACTTAAATACTCTGCTCAGAACTTTCCCACAATTTAGCCATCCTACTGCTGTATATTATGGTAAATGTTGCGTGTCTGTATCTTTCAACATGATTCTGATCCGTCTATGGTTGAGCCCATCACAGGATTCAGTACACTGCTAATGTCCATATAGTTAGCAAACAAAGCTTGCTGGTGAATAATACATTGCATTAACACTATTTGTAGAATGTTTTTCTCATTCGCTTGTCTAACCAAGCATTTCGTTATGCCACTCATGTACTTTCCTGCATCAACATTCAACTGAGGCTAGTCCAGTCCAAGTTATAATCAGCAATTTTTTTTTAACTTATTGAATATCTCCTCTCCAGCTAACAGTGCCATACATGCTATGTTGAGAAGCCAGCTCTTGTGTTATGTTTATGTCTTCATCCACACCTCTAATGAAAACAAACAGTTGAGAGGTGGAACAGCTGTCCAGCGACTCATCCATTGCAATTGAAAAATGGGGTAACGCTTGCATTTTTCGCTATTTGCGTCACGATGTTTTCACTAATGTCTGCAACACGGCGGGCAATGGTATTTGCACCAAATGCTACATTTTCATATTATTTTGAATTTTCTTGGTAAAGGTCCTCAGCCACCTCCAATAAAAATCGTTTCCGTGGACAAAAAGATCTCCGCGGGCCGGATGAGAGGACCACGCGGGCCGCATCCGGCATGTACTCGGCACAACCTCGAGATACCAAAAAAAATACAATCGGGCTCCATCCTTAGTCTCGAAATCAATAAAATCAACTATCTAGCGATGAAGAAACGGACCAACCTCATTGATCGGGTCAAACATCAATCATCTCAACAAAAAAAAAAAAACAAAAAAAAAAAAAAACAAACACGAAAACATTAAACTAATGGAAGGGGTTTATTATCCAACCAAGAAAACATAACATCTTAGGATAGAATAAGTTAGCACATTGTACCTTAAATACCATGATATAACTTATTCACAACCTAGCATTTTAATTGTTAAATCAACTAATGGTGATTGATGGTGCCTAACCAAAATATCAGTATAGAAATATAATATCTAATTTAATGGAAGAAAAATTCTCCATGACCCCAGGACAAACAAAACTATCTCAGCAAATAATCGAGATCCATATAACCATAATCCATCATCTAATTCGAGCATGAATGGGTGACTACAACAATACAATAAACTACTTTTCAAGGGAAACAGGGAAAATACTGGATCCAACAACCAAATCAGCAAATGTATCTTCAATCGATATCATATCTAATACACCAAAGAGTACATAAACCTAGCACTAGCAAACATACTATGACCATCCACAAAAGGGGAACCTAACGCCATATATTTCCTTCTCCAAGCCGCTTCCCCAATAATAAATAGAGCTGAACTGTGTAACTCCTAAATCAATCCATGCCGGCGTTTAAACACCTGCCAAGCACGAACCAAAGTTAAAACTGGCTAACATATCTGTAGTTCTAACCTTGATTGGAATCAATGGGCGATGAGAGACCCGATATAGTCGCTAGATAATTTGTATTAGGATTCGATTATTTTTTTTCTTGAATTAATCTATTGTTTTTAGAATAATTAAGACTAAGGTTAAGGTTCAACCATTTTGGTTTCAGCCACACTTACTAAAATTGTTTATTATAAGCCAACAAATTAAATGAGACCTTTCCCCCTTCTAAGGGTGTACATAAAGCTATTCTTAGATTTTTACACCTAAACTTTGCACCTAGGCTCACCTTAGACAAGGACCTCATTTGTAGATCACCCAAGACTATACAATTATAACCAAGAAATGTTCTCTATATATTATTAAGCTATACTATATATTATTAAGCTATACATCAAATATACAGACTAAAATCAATTTTATCAACTGAAAATTAATCCGCTTCCTATTAGACTCCAGGCTAAGACCAGCAACGTTTACCCCCCCCCCACCCCCACCCCCCACCACTTATTTGCTTCACCTAAACCTAGATGTAAACAAGCAACGGCATCTTAATTTATGTTAATAATTGTTTTGTTCGGTACAAAATTAAAAAAAAAAGAGTTTTATTTAGCATTTATTTTAAACCATAGATATAACATAAAAACAAAACCCAAAGGCCTAATTGACTAAAATAAAATACATATTGATTTGATGACTAACTATTTAGCTAGGCGAATACATGCATTTCTGTTGATTTTATATAATCAAGACACGCGTAAAATAATGTGGTTAAAAAACAAGCCAAACATATAAAAGACAGTATATTTGAAAATAACAAAAATGTTATCAAAATATTACAATAAAATGTAACTCGAGATAAAAAAATAATAACTTAATAACCAACATAAAATTAGATTATTTACTCGGAAAAATTCTATGTAGGCCTACAAAATTAGGCTTAATATTAACAAACATATACTGTTTAAAAATGAATGTTTTCTTCTAACTACACAAATACATATTCATTTTACAAATGAGAGTTATAAAGTGAAACCAAACTCGATAATTATAACAGTAAAAAAATATTGATAATAACAAGGTTTAATACAATACTTTTGACCGGGATGATAGAATTAAAGAAACTATAGTTTACGGCGAGTAAAAAAAAAATTATAGCACGATTTTAATATAAAGCCTGGAATGATTTAAAATAGAATTTTGAGTGATTTGCTGTCTCAAGATACTTTGCAAGGAAATATATTACATTGCTAAAATTAGGAAATTGTTAAAATAATTCATATGAGATTTATTGAGGCTGTTTACATATATATTTATAGGAAGTTATATATATAATTATATGAATGTATATCTGTATATATATATATATATATATATATATATATATATATATATATATATATATATATATATATATATTTATATATATATATATATATATATATATATATATATATATATATATATATATATATATATATATACATATATATATATATAGATATATATATATATATATATATATATATATATATATATATCAACTAACGGTTATAACAATATAATATATTACATTAATATCAAAATCGATGGGCAAAAATGATAAATACGATTTTTTATTTGTATTTACATATCCCTCCCCCTAAATAAAAAATAAAATGATTCGGACTGCATGTATAAATGTACTTTTAAAAAAATGAATGTATTTGTACATGTATACATCTCTTTAAAAAAATATTTTTGTTATTAAAAAATGTCTAGTTCAAATCAATGTTATAACGTTCAACTTGGAAGATATTGTACTCATGTTTTTACAATTGATTGCTTGTATATAAACCTATTTACACATCTAGGACCGTAAAGTCAAAATCACACAGCATAAGCCATTGTAGTCTATATACAACTACATGTGTAACGCAAAATAAACTTCTTGTCGTGTGGATCCCAGTCTTTGCCGCGGACATACCGATACGCGTATTACTGATGACATGAAATAGTGTAAAAGATAGAAATTAAATAAGCAAACTATCCTAGTTGTTTATCTTCACACACTAGTAAAACACTCACATGATGCATGCCATTGTAAATATAGATCTTTTATTCCAACCGTCTTTTTTTAATTGATGGACCCTGATTATCATCGCCTCTGTAGACTGTAATAATAAACGGGTCGTTATTCAGCAGCCAGTCAGCTGTTGGTCTTTCTTTAGGTTCTCTGTGTAAAACTTTGTCTAAAAACTCTCGTAAGTAAACTGATGATGATGGCGGTAGTTTAAAATGTAGCGGCTCTCCCGTTGCAATTCTATACACAACCTGAGCTGACATCATGGAAGAGTTTGGTGGTTTCCCCGTCAACATTTCTATAACAGTGCAGCCGACACTCCTGTAATTGATATTTAACAAATATTTTAGTAATTGTATGATTTTGTTTTGTCGACGAGTAAAGTGTACGAGTTAGGAAGTCATAGCTCGACTCCAATTGAAGTACCTGTGTCAACACAGTTCGTTAGAGTATTTGACATGCTACACCTTTCATCCGATAGCCAAGAAACTTTGGGAAGTTCTTGAGATTATTCGTGGGGAGGTTTCATCGAAATAAATAATTTCCAACTCGCAGAGGTGGCGTTTTGGCAAGGCAAGATTCGATTATTCTCTATATATAGTATATACAAAATAAAAATCCATTGCGTATTTACACCGTTCATCCGATTGCCATAAATACAATAGTGAAGATCTGCAAAACATTATTTTGCTAATTTCACAAAGGCGGCGCCCCGCAAGGGTGCGATTTTTTCTCTAAATACGGTATATAAAAAAAAAAGTAGGACGCGGTTCGACACCGTTTAGCAGAGTGCCATTAAACTTTGGGGATTTGATGAGACTATTTCCAAGATGAATTTTGCAAAAGAAAAAAACATATTTTGCACATGCGGCCTCCGACAGGGTGCGATTTCACGCCCGCGAACGCTATGGTGCCTACGTTATGGTCGTTGACTAAATTGAATTAGGCACGCACGCCGGCGCCCCGGCTTGGTGCACTGTGGCATCCCGTTTATCATGTGAGCAATATGGCAACTACGTTCGATTTGGGGCATTACAGTCATCAATTCATGGTGAGTTGTAGCAGGGGTGTCCACTTGTATACAAAAGTAAACACTATTTTTGTTGTTTCTTTAAAAGTAACTTGTTTTTCGATTTCAAAGACGAATACTAAGCCTTTAATTGAATATTATATTCAATAAACGTTGGAATAAGTAACCTTGTTTAACCTGGTTCAATTATTCAAAATAGCAATTCACACACAAGTATTTTTTAAAAGGTACATTTGTTGTAGAATATTTTGGTCTGGATATCAAATTAATATCACGTTAAGATGTACCTTTCTTTTACAAGAATATAATTATTCCTTTATATATATATATATATATATATATATATATATATATATATATATATATATATATATATATATATATGCCTATTTATTTATTGAATACATCCATTGTTTACCATATATCAGATCTGCTGGTGTAGTATTTTAAAACGTTTCCATCTGTAAAAACAACTTCTGGAGCCATGTATCTAACTGTTCCTCTTTCTGTGGGTAGTCCTTTCCCGTCGATAAATTCTGATATACCAAAGTCAGTTAGCTTGATGTTCATATCATCTGCCATAAGGATATTGCATCCTATGGTAAATTAAAGTGTAAGTTATTGATTAATGTTTATATCTGTCAACATAAATTATAATACGTCTTACAATTAGGTAATATCATTTTCAATAAAAATGTTTTCTTACACATCAAACATTTACTGATCATTTGCTGTAACATTATGTAAAGAAAAACAATTGATGCGTTATCATACTTGTAATAACCAAATAAGCAATCGAGAAGTCTGTTTTTATTTCAGTATGTATATACTATACTCCTTATGCCATAAAGTAGATTTTTTTAAGATTGCGTCGTCTAAAAATGATGTTATAGATTGTAGAGTTTAGTACCCAAACGAAGAACATTGACACTGTAGGCTGCAGCAAATTTTACATAAAAACTGATAGAATGGTGTTTACCTTTAATATCTCTGTGAAGAATGTTGTTTTCATGTAAATAATCAACCCCTTCCAGAATTTGAACAGTAAAGTGCCGAGTCACTTCTTCGTTTAAATTTCCTCTTCTGGAAATATACGCTTCCAGAGTGCCCTGAATTATAGCATATTAACAATTTGAAACCAATCATGGTTTTATAAGCTGTTATAAATATTTTTAGAAAAAGAAAATAACGCTGCTTCTTACGTTTTTCAAATATTCTAGGAATATATAGAATGCATCCTTTGTTTTTTGAAAACCGTGGAACTGAACAATTCTTTCATGTTTTGCTTTTAATAGAAATTTTGTCTCCTTTATACATATTTCCTGGTGAAAAAAATTGTTTCAAAATGTTATTAATACAAAATAATGAAACACCATTATACTTTTATAACTTGCTATTTTATTATCATAACACGTGGGAGGTATTTTAAATTAAAAATATAATATCTAATTATAAATATATATATATATATATATATATATATATATATATATATATATACATATATATATATATATATATATATATATATATATATATATATATATATATATATAAAGCAATGTCTGTCTGTCTGTCTGTCTGTCTGTCTGTCTGTCTGTCTGTCTGTCTGTCTGTCTGTCTGTCTGTCTGTCTGTCTGTCTGTCTGTCTGTCTGTCTGTCTGTCTGTCTGTCTGTCTGTCTGTCTGTCTGTCTGTCTGTCTGTCTGTCTGTCTGTCTGTCTGTCTGTCTGTCTGTCTGTCTGTCTGTCTGTCTGTCTGTCTGTCTGTCTGTCTGTCTGTCTGTCTGTCTGTCTGTCTGTCTGTCTGTCTGTCTGTCTGTCTGTCTGTCTGTCTGTCTGTCTGTCTGTCTGTCTGTCTGTCTGTCTGTCTGTCTGTCTGTCTGTCTGTCTGTCTGTCTGTCTGTCTGTCTGTCTGTCTGTCTGTCTGTCTGTCTGTCTGTCTGTCTGTCTGTCTGTCTGTCTGTCTGTCTGTCTGTCTGTCTGTCTGTCCGTCTGTCCGTCTGTCCGTCTGTCCGTCTGTCCGTCTGTCCGTCTGTCCGTCTGTCCGTCTGTCCGTCTGTCCGTCTGTCCGTCTGTCCGTCTGTCTGTCTGTCTTTCTGTCTGTCTGTCTGTCTGTCTGTCCGTCTGTCTGTTCTGTCTGTTCTGTCTGTTCTCTCTGTCTGTCTGTCTGTCTGTCTGTCTGTCTGTCTGTCTGTCTGTCTGTCTGTCTGTCTGTCTGTCTGTCTGTCTGTCTGTCTGTCTGTCTGTCTGTCTGTCTGTCTGTCTGTCTGTCTGTCTGTCTGTCTGTCTGTCTGTCTGTCTGTCTGTCTGTCTGTCTGTCTGTCTGTCTGTCTGTCTGTCTGTCTGTCTGTCTGTCTGTCTGTCTGTCTGTCTGTCTGTCTGTCTGTCTGTCTGTCTGTCTGTCTGTCTGTCTGTCTGTCTGTCTGTCTGTCTGTCTGTCTGTCTGTCTGTCTGTCTGTCTGTCTGTCTGTCTGTCTGTCTGTCTGTCTGTCTGTCTGTCTGTCTGTCTGTCTGTTTGTTTGTTTGTTTGTTTGTCTGTCTGTCTGTCTGTCCGTCTGTCTGTCTGTCTGTCCGTTTGACCTTTATGCATTACTACATCTCTCATCACATCGCCGTGAAACTTTTCAAATTCGCAGGGGTGGAGCCCCGGCAGGGCGCGACTTTTTTTTCTCTATATACGGTATATAAAAATAAAAGTCGATTTTAGTTCGACATCATTCATCTGATCGCTATCAAACTTTGGTGGGAAAGGGTTCTATAAAGGGAAAGGGAAAGGGTTTTATAAAAAAATCATTTTTAATTTAATAAGGGCGGCACCACGGGAGGGTGCGATTTTTCTGTATATACTATATAAAAAAAAATAAAAGTGAATTGCTGTGACACCGTTCACACGCAGTAGCGTAGCGAGGGGGGGGACATATGTCCCCGGGCGCCGACCTTAGGGGGGGGCGCCAAATTGAAAGTTTGAGGGGGGGGGGGTGCAAATGAAAAGTTCGAGGGGGGGGGGGTGCAAATCAAAAGTTTGAGGGGGGGGGGTGCAAATGAAAAGTTCGAGGGGGGGTGCAAATCGAAAATTTGCTCCCAAGGGGGCGCCAAATTGAAAGTATGTCCCCGGGCGCCGGGAAAGGTCGCTACGCTTCTGTTCACACGATCGTCATGAAACTTTGGGAAGATGTTGAGAATATTCCTGGGGAGGTTACTGCGCTAACAAGATTTTCAAATTCGCAGGGGTGGCGCCCCGGCAGGGCGCGATTTGTTTTTTCTCTACATACGGTTTATAAAAAATAAAACTCTATTTCGGTTTCACACCGTTTATCCGTGTACCATGAAACTTTGGGGAGTTCATTATAACACTCTAGGGAAAGGTTCTGTAAAAAATAATTTTTTATATCACAAGGGTGGCGCCACGGGAGGGTGCGATTTTTTTTCTATATACACGGTATATAAAAAAATAAAACTCGGATGCGGTTCATCCGAGTGCCATGAAACATTAGGGAGTAGATGAGAATACTCCCAAGAATATTGCTGCGAAAAAGAAAACTAAAGTTTCTTATGGGCGGCGCCATGTAGGGTACAATTTTCGTCAATACACGTTTGGCGCCCAGAGTTTTAGAGCGACTATGTTGGCACTTGGCATCCGTTAATCGAGCATCCTGCATAGCAAGTAAGGGTTACTACTATATTCAGCGGTAAAACTACAACAGGCTTCTAAAAATAACTTTGTACAGTTTCGTCACCTTGCGAAAGATGAAAAAAAAACTTTTTGAATATGAGGAGCCTACTGTAGAGTTTCGTCACTTTGCGAATAATGCAATAAGCATCTATTATTAGACGATCCAGTCAAAAATTGAGATCGAGCATCTAATAATAGACCATTAGTAACGCTAGCTTATTGCATCAGTCGCAAATATGTTTAAAACACGTCAAATAACTTTTTTACGTATTAAAGAAAAAAATCCTGTTCATTTGTGTCACTTTAGCAAATGACAAAATCTACATCATTGTTAACATGATGCTATTGGGCGCTCTGGGTTATCCTATGAGTACGATGGCGTCTGTTAGTTTTAAGGAGCCAGGGACCGGACACTGCGCCTATGTGGTGGTGTAATTGGGGGAGGGGGGGGCTCATGAGAGCGCCCTCTATGTCCCTTACACATGGGTGGTCACCGAAGTGTGTTGTATCTCATTATTTCGGTGAGTGGTTAATGTACACTCAAGGTTTTTATGCAGTATTGTAGGAAAACCCGTGTCCTGATATTTATGATCCAAGCCCAGGCATTGTTTACATTTAAATAACTCACTTTTAGAAAAGAAATTCACGAGTCTAAGAATATAGGATTGGTAACGCATGGATGAAACCCTTCTTATATATTTTGTCGGACTTTCTTCTATTTCCGCGGCAACGCGCGGGGACGGGTACGCTAGTATGTATATATATAACCCAGACACCACATGTTTGTGTCTTATAAAAGGACCGATTTAGGCTGAGCATGTGTGAAAATATGTAGGCCTAATTAATACGTTTAAATAAATGTATGTTTAACAATTTTGTAAGAAAGAACATTATTCTCTTCACAAATACGCTATTTAAAGTTTTTCGCAAAATGCAGTTACTCACATGTACCGGAACAAACAAACACTTAAATATTTAAACATATAAACAACTTAAATTTTAGTATAATATAGATTACCAGTGTTTCTGTTGAAGTCGGTTCTATTTTCTTTGCAACAAACTTTTCTTCATCTGGATTATGCATGTCAACTACCTTAAAGACTCTGCCAAAGGCACCCTTGCCTATCATTGTTGATCTTATTTCGAAATGTTTAGGGAAGTCGTCAGAAAATATAATATCTATTTATATATAAAAAATAATTGTGAGTTAAAAAGTAATACACAACGTGTGTCTTTTTTAGCAGTTTCTTCGATTCATAATCATATGAAGCATTGTATGCAACCATATAGTGTAACAAAAGTGATTTAATAAGTATAATTTTATTTATTATAATAAATATAAAAAACGAAACATTTTCTAACCTGTTTTTGATGGCAAAATTCCCGTCACCCTTCCAGTTCTCCAAAATACTGAGTTTGCATTTTGCGAAAGGTCCTTATTATCACTGAACATTAGTCTATTTAAAATGTCATTAAAAGTTTCGTCAGTAATAATTTTCTCACTCGCATCTTTATTTATACTCAACCGCTTCAACAACTCCGTTGCTTGTTCCTGTTCTTGGGGGTCCTCATGCGCCAGTATAGTTTTTAAACGTGGAATGATAGGAATAATCTGTTAGGAATATCGATGGCTAGAATGTAAATAAACTATTTGAATTAAAGCAACACGTCGTCTGTTTGAATAAAAGGGTTAGTGTCCCATATATAACGGAGTTTGACAACTTGTTATACTCATAATACTATGGCATTGTCAAAGTATTTTAAATTGTAAATAACAGGTGAAAAAATAAAAATATGTATGTTAATCAAAAGCATATGAATGGAAATGATAATGGCAACGAGTTAGTGTAAGAGAAATGGTAAGGGTAATGGTTATGGCTAGAAAACAAAATTCATGTTTTACGTTTAATACACATTGTAGGCATTATGTAAAAAATTGGTTTTCTCATTTGCTCATTAAATTACCGTCAGACTATTTACAAGGTAATAATTAACAGGCTGTAATTGGGAGGAGGGTAAATTATGCTAGTATTAATGTTGCAGGGCAATTATCTGGAAGGTAATTTCATTTGTGCAATTGTGTATTTGACAGTAAATCTATTATCCCGCCATCTTTCTTACGACTCTCTACCTGTGCACTCTCTCTTCTCCTAACTCCTAGGTCAACAGAAATGCAAGGGCTTGCTACAGTGACCACTGACCCAGCTGCTAGACCGTACAAGCGGGCTAGATCTATCGTGTGATCAAGCACCGAGTCTCACTCGCTCATGGGAATGATCTAATGCTGATGGACATGAACCGGTGACAAATTAATTCGGTATTTTAACCATGACCAATGCCCCTTGTTAGTGCACCTGGTTATAGGGGCGTACAAGACATTCTGCTACGAACAGTTATCTTTTTTTTAATTATAGCATAATGCAGTAAAGATTTAATATGTCCAATATCTCGAGTTAAAACAAAGTAGTTAAGGAAATAATATAATTATATGAATTAGATACATTTTGCATGTATTTTTAAATAAACACACGACACTAAGCATCCATGAGGTGTGGCAAAATGTTTGAAAAGAGAAAGGAATACTGAAAATATGGTTTTTTTTCATAGCAAAATGATGAAATAATAAAACTCTACTTTGCGTCGAAAAATGGAACAGAGCGGTATGAAGTAATAGTGTAAGTTGATAACCCGAAAGTTTCATACAAAAACATATAATAGAGTCACATTAAATTCAATATTAGCCACTTAATGTGAGACCTAGTGAATCACAATACATTGTTAAGAAAACTGGTGAACAAAGTAAACAAAAAAAATAGCATCAATTTATAAGCTAAAGAGTGACTAAAATGGATTTGACATATTCAAAACTACTACGGAGATCATTAGTTATGTGACCCGTAATGTATAGTCGATGCAGTCCCGTCACTTTACCTTCTACTCTCTTCGTAGGTACACGTTTTTTTTTTTTTGGGTAGTCATTTGCCAATATACAATTATAATTACTCTGGTGTTTCGCACTAGTTCATCACGGAGAAACTCGTTATTACTAGGCACCGTGTTCAGAGAAACATGTTTTGGCTAATATTTAATTGGAAGGTAATACGTATATTGCGGCTCTGCAACTCTAGATATTAAAGAGAAAAAAATGTGAAACCTCATCCCATTCCTCTTCAGTAATGGTATATCTTGACAATCCTTGAAGTAAGGCATACAGCTTAAATGTTTGATGTATTCTGTCTTCCGCTTCCGCGGCTTTAGTTATTCCATCTAGCAAAAACCGCTTTATTTCTCCTAGAGGCATAAGTTTAAAAAAAAGCAATCATTATTACACAACGATATTAATTCATCAGAAAATGAATTTCCTCCGTAAAAAAGATAAATCCGATACTCGGTTTATTGATACCAGCTAAAGAGCTAAATAGAAAGTACCTAAGTAGTTTTATTTTTGTGATTTCCTTGAAGAACTGACTGTTACAATGTTACACCTATATTGTTCCGTGTGCTAAGTCACAAGCCAAGTTTCTACTCAAGATCGATTGTAATTGTTTGCTTAGTTTAATAAAGACTTGTATATCACAATCACCTTCAATTTGAAACTCGAAACTAATAGAAAACATGACAATGTTCTAATTTTCTCAATATACTAAATACATTCAAATATCTGAAAATAACTATTTTATAACATATTTAATAGGCTTGGCTATTTTTCTCTATTTCTCTACCAATACAGAGAATATTTTTTTATTGAAATTCAAATAACTATCTTAATCTGTTACGTATCTGAGGATTAAGTGCCCAAGTCGTAATTATGCGGTAACGTGTCCTGGAATGGGTGTATGGAGATTAAGTGACTGAACCCCATCAAGTATACGTATACAGTAACAGTTATATCCAAATACGTACTTAACATTATATTTAAAGTTATGTAATTTTAGTGAAAAATAATTACCGCGGGTCTCACTTTGTAAATTACCGATTTGCAAAAGTAGCAACTTTGAAACCAGTAATGTCCTTTGTTGTTTAAAGTTGAAGTTCAAAATCGCCTTAATCATACAAAATTATATTGTAGAAAACATGGAATCAACAACATTAAAAGAGTGTTTACATAATTATATTATAAATCAATATGACTGGGTTTAGATAAGTGATTAGGTGTAGTAATTTAAAATCTTAATAAAACAAAAACCTGTAGTTTTTACATTGGCAGGATTTAACAAATTTCATCTTTCCTGAATAAAATGGCATCATCTTAAAACAAGTTGACATTATTAATTAGGATCTAGCATGTGGCAACATGAGAAGAGTCTTACCCTGGTCTTATTTTGAATTATTTGACACAAACGGGATGTTAGTGCCGCTTAGGTCACAAGCAGATAATTGGATTCACATTTTTACGCATGTTTTAGATAATGATCCGCATATAATACATTTTTATCATTTTGCTTAAAAATTCATTGAATGATTTATTAATAATTAATAAGCTAAATAAAAAAACATATTGAAATCAGTATTTAATATAAAAAGCTACGGAGACCGACAAAGATTTTTTTTTAAATTGGATAGCCCTACTGATAAATTTGTAAAAATTTACATAAAAAAATCTTGCTAATTGCTACAAGACACTTGCACTCAAAACATCCATACCGTTTGCTGGAATAGATGATTTTCTAAATGCGGCAATTTCACGAAAACCACAATATCGAACTGACGATTTGGGCGATTCGGGGAATTTTTCCATTCAATTAACGTCTTGCCTTAGAGATGACGTTTGCATAAAATAGCCATCGGGTAAACGTAATTTGAACCAGTATCCTCGGGAATTTGATGTCCCACATAAAAAATAATTAGGCTAGCAAAACAGCAACGCATTTTGCCTCGTAACATAACTCAGTAATGTATCAAAAGTTTAAAACACAATAATGAAATATTATTACATTACTGCATTTTAATAGGTTTCTGCTATGTCTATTTGAATATTAAAATATTAAATTCAGTGTAAGTACTAATTTGTCAATAGAAATATGTAACATCATAGCGTTATTGGAGTACGAAATTATATATTTAACAATATATTGTTTTTCCATAAGAAATGTTAACTTTAATAAATGAAGCTGTTCAGGCTGTATATAAGTATGTAAATAATCACCATGCCTTAAAAAAAAACTTAATTCGCATATTCTACCGTAAATCCTTAAATTGAAAAGTCATTATATAAAACAGTACTTAGAAAAAGTATAACAATTGTACATCTAAAATAATCTACCTTACCTTTACTATGTCTTTATTGTTAAAGTATTGAAGAGCGTCTTTCTTGATTGCGATATTATATAAAATATAGATCAATCCGTTTGTTATATAATGAGTTTGTGAACACTGAAAAAATCGGCATAATAAGTGAAATAAAAATTATGTAAATTACTCTGAGTTATGATCATTTAAACCGACTTCATTAAGAAACAGAAAATTCGAAACAAGCACTTTTTAATTCTATTTTTTTTATATTCAAATACTCATAAATACTCATAATATATATATATATATATATATATATATATATATATATATATATATATATATATATATATATATATATATATATATATATATATATATATATATATATATATATATATATATATATATATATATATATATATATATATATATATATGTATTGTGTGGTGTGTGATATATGAATATATATCATAAATAAAACACTAGGTGTTATTATGTTGAAAAATCTGCTTATATTCCCTCGACTTGATTGAAAAATGAAATGCTAATAAAGTTTTCCCTTTATAAAAAAGTTTATAAAATGTGTTAGAAGAAAACGTAAGGTAAATAAGACTTATGGTTATGGTGTATATTTAGGATAAGAGATACCGAAAATTGCACACTGTTGCATTTAAACAAAAATGTTGGAGACGAAATTGTATTAGTTATTTCGCGTTCAATAAAACTTTTTTTTGCAACATTGTAATATACAATGTTAAATATATTCTATGTTGACCAAGCTCTGTCATTATTTTAGAAATAAATCGATGGTAAAAAATAGTTAATCTGCAATTTTGAGTAGAAGTTGTAGGATGTGATGCGACGTCTTTTTAAGGGGGTCTAGATTTTGGTGACGATGGGAAGGGGAGGGGGGAGAATTTTTGTTTAGAAAAGCGCGACCTCATGTATTGATTACTGCTTTCTAAAAAAGAACCAAGTGAACAGATAGAGATGCTTTTTTACTGCGTAGTATTTTAGTTCAGGAAAATTGTAACGGCTTACACTACATATTAGGATTAATTAAAGTTATAGGCATTAATATCGCACTGCAGTTATAATTACCGTCAAGAGTAGTTAAATATATGAATATTGTAATTTTAATTGTATTAGTTTTTGTTTTTGTTGCAAAGCTAATAAATTCAAATCGAGATACCACCTGCATGGATATTACAAAGATTTCATTTAACAGTGAAAAAACTATTGCAGTAGTTTAGTTTTAAAAAATTAATATTTGTATTTTAAGAAATGTATCAAAATATATTACCTCTATATTCTTGTGTGTGACCAGATAGTCTGTTAGTACCATGACAATATTACACTCAGCCAAGCGCTAAGAATAAAATACTGATAAACTATAACAAAATAAATGTGGAATGAATATGATTATGTTCAAGCTTTTTTAAAAAGTTAGGTACAAACATACATTTACACCACTGCGTTAATTTAAAAGCATTATTTGTTATTGCTAAACACATCCTATTCAATCATGCACATCTAAATAAAAAAAAACAGGTGAAAAGGCTCATTTCATATACACATTTTTTGAAACTATCGACTGGCATATTGGCACTAGAATAAGGAAGAGAAAGTGGATAAAGCCCCCAATTGCCTGTGTTGCCCAGCTTGATGATGGTGGTACCTAACAAATAATATATAAGCCTCTTCCAGCAATGAAAGCTACACCTGTCTCTAGCTCTACGTCAATAGCGTAGATAGCTTATTTCTATATTTACTACACTAAAAGCTTGGGCTAATTGAGGAAAGCTGGATGGGGTCCATGTGTCAAGTCCACACTCTCCAACAGGAGAACGGCGGAATGGAAAAGGCGTTCCCTATACAAACTTCCATCTGCTGTGCCGTAGGAGCTTTCTGTATACATTGTGTTAGTGGTGTAGCAAGGATTTTCAGGCATCTATGCTAACATTATCAGTGGGGTCCCTTTGTCAGCCGTTAGGCTACAACAAAGTTAAACGAAGAAATCAACTGTTACTTCCGATGTAGGGTTTCAAATAGTATAAATATTTTATACATTTTGTATTTCATACTTCCTTTTTTGTATATTTATCTAATATTATCGTATAGGACTATTACACCGTAGATTTGTAAAATAATTTACTGGCTTACAAATAATTTGTTTGTTATTTTAAAAGTAACCAAACACATTAGCGTCACAAGGCGGGGGCAGGGATGCGGTCCGCATGGCTGATAATATTTAGGCGTGACACCATGACGAAACATTGTAAAACTTACTGTTAAAAGTTAGTTGTATTAAGCTTAAATAACAATAAGATAAATAAGAGACGGGTGACAAACCACCGAAAGTGCAAAGTTCTTAAGGACGTCGGGATGATACTATAGTTAATACATTTGGTAACCGACCCCTTATTCTATTTAGTAATCGATTGTACTTGCTCTCCGTATCCCTAGTGTATGACGCTCATCAAAACGAATATAGGCGCCGCAATGATCATTGGGGAGCCCGGGTCACACTGGGTTACACGACCGCTGGGGCACCGGTTGATGTGCCAGTGCAATGTGACTGCTGAATTAAGAAGAAACACTGGCCCGCTGCGCCGAACACTGAACTGACCTTTAGTACAAATATAGTCACCGGGAAACTCAAGGTGGTAAATAGCACCGCCTAACTGCCGGGGCGCCGCTCTCAAAAATAAAATAAAAATGTAGTGCCAGAAACCTTCCCAAATGTCGATTTTGGGCCAACACTGCCTGGATAATTCTAAAAATTTCTTGGCAATTGGATGAAACCAAAACCTTATATTGTTTGTAGCGCTATATACAGATTACATATTAATTAGATCAACAAATTGAAATTTCGTTCAGGTAAAAAATTAGTAGAAAAAAAACTTTGACAAATGTTTGACAGCTTGTTATGAAAAAAATCTTCAAGGCTATTTTTTAAATGGCTCAATTGCTATCATGGATGAAAGATGGGATTTAGGGGAGGGCAGACAAATACCAAAAAATACAAAAATTTCAATTAAGGCCTACAAATTTTAATTTTTTTAAAGACTGAATAAAGCCCATTTTTTCCTTGGTCTAACGCTAGGTTTACGGTAGCTACGACACTGGTATTAGTCACACTTGGAATTTTTTGGGATTAGCTCCCTTACGCCTTTACTACATATGAAAATTTTTCCGCCCCGGAGAATTCTACAGTTTACTATATTTACCAATGAAAATTCAGCAGAGAACAAGCAGCCATTCCAGTAAATATTTAACATGTCTCGTATTAAGGAAAGTGAAAATCTTTGCGAGGTGGTGTTCAGAAGTTCTTCTTCTATTACATACTTCATGCATAATTCTGAAACAAAATACAATATAACAATTATTTTTGTATATTAAAAATACAAATAATTAAGTCGAAAACTTTTTATACATTTTTACAATAAAAGTATTATTTCATTATTAATTCATTGTTAATAATCAGATTGTTTGAATATGTTCCCAAAAGTTTATCTAAGAATGTGTGTATTCATAAGCTTTGAATTCATTAATAATTTGTGTGTGTTTATAGGAAAAGTCATAGTATTGTTTTATTTTTACTAAGAACGCAAACATTAAACTAAATCGTCACATCGCCTTGAAACTCATGTACCGACATTTAAATCTAGCCGAAAACTTAACAGACAAATAGGGCCTATACTATGAAAATCTTTCTTGACAAAACAAATAAGTGTCAAGCTTAAGATCTAAGCACAATGACGGTAATTCTTATGTACATTAAGGTCGCACATGTATGCCAGCATATCAATATTATATATGTAGGGGTATTATTATTTTATCTAACCAGTTTAATACTTTTCTTGACTGACTATATCGCGTCAGTTAATCCTACATGATATGTTTCGTTATGTCTATTGTTACTATTTCACGTGATCTTTACCTGGGTTAGCCAGGGTTGGCCTATCGAAGTGGAATCAACCTGACGCCCCTCAACAAAAATGTTTGACCAGCGCTTGAATAGCCGGCCAGGTAATTAAAATCAAACCCATTGGCATGATCACGGACTGAGCGGTCATGCAAGAGCTATGGCGTATGGAAGTGAGAAAACCTGGAGGCCGGCCAATCAGATCGCTATAGTGACGCTGTGTATAGTGACGGTCTATAGTTCTTGTCATGAACGCTCAATGGACTGGTCAGTATTGGCAGTGGGGAGCTTAGGGGTTGGTCTAGTAAGATTTTACACTAATGTTGGTGCAAAATTACCCCTGCACCTAAGCTTTCGTAAGAAAAAGTTAATACAATAATAAATATCGAATAAAAAATCATCAAGTCTTGCCCTGCAGAAATAGTTAACACGAGCCGACCCGCGGCGTAGCATATGCCGCTATTTAGTTCTTTTATTTTCTACTTTTCAATAATTCATACTTTGTGAATTCGACAGTACCAATGCTGCCACTGTAAATATTTGCTTTAAAATACTTTCAGTTGGTCGTTAAGGACGATAACCCCCCCCCCACCCCATCCTCATTTCCCCCAACCCCTACCCCTACCCCCCCCCCCCCGTGAAAGCAGCCTCCTCTTAATTACCTCCCCTAACTTTAAAATCGTTTCAAGCTAAATTATCTGCCCCTTATAGGCGTCACTAAACCCGGCTGTGCGATTGTTAACATTTAGCGTGAACCACAGCTCATCAGACTATGTGGGGGTGGGGGAGGTTGATTTATGCCTAGTGAAGAAGAGAGGGGACTGCAAGGCGCGCTTACAGCTTGTTTTCTAGAGTCTCCAAGAAGAGAATTATATATATATATAGATTCGTATTTCTATCAAGTGGTTTACTTGTACTTTGTTTTACTTTGGACCATGCAGTTCAAATGGCAGATAAAATAGAGTTTATTTCAGTGTCATTGGTATATGAGATATAGTATTATATTTCACATGCTTAGCCCCCATTGATTTCACTAACGTAAGATGTGTATCCGTCAGGGACTAGTTTGACTTGAGACATTCTACTGATAGTCCAGGATCTGAACACAAGACTTTCGTGATGGGAATAGTGCGTATTTTACAATTAACATTAGCCTACTTTTCAGCTAATAGCCTACACATATAGATTCGTAGAATTTTAAAAATACTTACAACTTAAACTAATATATTATGTTACCCCGAGATAAGAATTGTTTACTTCTCTTATATTGCACCTATTAATGAACACACAGAAGTTAGATTTCAATCTTAAAACAGAAGAAATGAATTTTTACAAATTAAACATTTTGTATGTACCTGGATACTTGTGTTCATGAAGTGTTTGGAAAAAAGTCAAATGTTTATCTATATAATGTGCACAAATCACAGTGTCTATCATTTTCAAAGCTTTTTGGTAAATAAAAAACGGCAATTGTTCAAACGCTTCCAAGCTAGAATATTCCGCCATTATTTCTGTTGTATATTTCATTAATTCATCTAGGGTTGGTGCCTGTAAAATTAGAAACATATTGCATCAACACAAATTAATTGAATGAGTATTAACTTAACACAATTATAGAATAACACTTGAAACAGAAGTATCATAGACAAGTTTTCGTCGACTTAATAGAGTAACCCATAGAGATAATGAACATTTAGAATAACAGTATTTGAGATTTATTAAGTATATGTTGACTGTACAAGTTGTTTAATTATTTCTTTTATGAATGTCAATGTAGATTAAAGATTTACATACTTGACACCAATTCATACACTAACGCAACTTTATGAAATAAACCAGGAGTAATCTAATCTAAACTTTATTAAAAATTCTTATATAACACTACAGGGATGGCAACGCTGGATTTGGACTTGATTTTATATCAAATTTTAATTACTTAATCTTTTTAGCATAGAATGAAATCTCGTAGAAAAAAAAGAATTGCGCAAAAAATATGTGTATAATTGTGCGGAATATTATTAGTCAATATATATATATATATATATATATATATATATATATATATATATATATATATATATATATATATATATATATATATATCAATCAGCGGAAATAGTTTTTTTTAAATGTTTATAATATTTACATATAATTTTACACAAAATGTTATTTTATCTTGACTTATTTTTTCTCAAACTGACACGTTTTGGTATTTAGCTTAAAATCGTTGTTGATTTTGTATAAGAACATGCTAATTGTAATTTTGTCACTGTAAAATTTCAGAAACTTTCTCAAATACTATTTGGTCCAAAAATGTTTTCATAAAACACTTTTTTACACATTAGAAAACTATTAGAAAACCATTAAGTGTTAGACATGAGACGGCAAAACTACTATTTTACCGAAATGTTGTTCTTTCCTAAGCTCTTCGTCATCGCACTCCAGGTTTCAACGCAGTAACCTCTGACCTGGCCGTTTAACTGTCCAGTCGGGTTAGTTTTACTAAGTGACTGATCTTTGTGTTTGTAAGGTTCTTGGCACGGGTAACTCAGATAGTAAATATAGGTGTCTGTAAAAACTCATTCTCCCTTTTTTTATATATGTGATCTTTACGCTTACATAATAAACCGCCTCGCCTACTGTGCAACAAGTCATAGAGAATAGCTCACATGTAGTTTAAATTTGCGGGCTACTATAAGTCTTTGATAGCGTATTTAAAGGAATTTGGTGGACGCTGCTTAGAAAATATAAAAGTTTCACAAAAGCTTGTCAACATGATGATTGAATAATATAAAGCACTATTGTAGAGTATCATGAACTAATATCAAATAAGAAATATAAAATGAGAAACATCCAACCATTTGAATCTTCATGCAGTTTAGCCAGAAAATGCTCGACGACTTTAACTTTCTTAAAATCATCAAGCGTGGTGAAAATAAATCGAATTAGTGCAAGCGTTTTGAATTATATACCGGACATTGAATCTTGACCACATTAATTTACTATGGCCTATGTAAACTGATATGATATCAACTTTGTTTTATGCTGTACTCGGGAACGTTTGATTGAACTACAACAGCCTTTATCAATTAGGTCTTTTAAATCAACACCAGAAGCTAAGTGCCATTCAATCGTAATGAGGGCTAAGCAGGATAATCTGTCTTCGGATGTATGTGTTCAGGATCTGTCTTTACAAAGTCATAATTTCGTGATTGAAAAATTTCTCTTGGCAATCTTGTGACTTTCAGAGTCTTTATGTTTGTCAAATTTGTCAGGACCTTTTGCAAAGCTCTTACAACCCAATTTTGGATCAACCCAAATGTCTGACTTGTTTGTAAAAAGCCAAAAATTAAAATAAATCATATTATTTGCCTTGGGTGAATATACTAACCAGTGTCGTATTATTTCCCAACAACATTTCGTTTGGGTTTTTTCTTTCTTGCTCTGCCATCCTGAATATTTGTTCCTTGCTGGCTTTCTTTCCATTTAAACCTCTTAATACACAAATTCTAAGCGCCACTGTTGTCTTAGTCGTAATAACTTTAGTTTAATACACCAAATAATTAAAATGGAGCCCTTAACTTTTGATAATTACTAACCTTTCATAATAAATACAAACATTACAACAGCTGAGCAGATTATTAACTGTACAATCAGTGTTAGTTTAAGAAGAGTTGTTTTTGTTTAATACAAAATTTAGCCTTATTAAAATTTAATATAGATCTAGATCTAGTAATGTATATAAAATCATAACTAATATAGAATTTGGAGACAAGACCGCCTGATTGTCAGCTGAAAGGGGAAAGCGGATCAGTCCTCACTCCCTTACGTTATAGGCGTGCTAGCCTGGTCATCCGATAACCTGTATACGGCGGAGAGTGGAAAGGTATGACCGTAGCTACAGCTCACCCGCCGAAACGTAAAAAGAAACCGACCGAAAAAGTTGACTTCCCGGCACTTTCGGGTTTGTACGTGAAGGCAAACAATGTGTCCCTAACCTTTTTTAAGGTCCCAACACCCCCCCCCCCTCACTACGGTCAAGCTGGGTACCAGGTGGTAGGACACGGTGTCCCGCGCAAATTGGGTAGGGAAGACAAGCCTGCTGAGAACGTACTGATGAAACGCGACCAACATGTAGTGTTCAACCCGGCGTCGTCAAAGCCATTTGGTCGGAGTTTACCACGTCGAGACCTGCCTGGCTTATGGGAGGTCAACTCAAGAGTCGGTATTCCCGTTTAAAGAAAGTCACGAAATCGTAATCACTATTAACACTTAATATGTGTTTATGTATTATTAAAATATAAAAACTTCCTACCTGATTGTTGTGAGAGAGAAGAACAATCTTTACATAGCAATCGATGGATCTGTATTTATACAAAATATTTATACACAACATGTGTAATATTTGTTTGGATGTATTTTTTTTTTCAAAAATCGATATAATGAGAAGTAATAAAAGTCTCAAGAAAATAAAAACACAAAACATTGACATGCTTCGATAACAACATTGTGGATAATTGAATAAATGTTCTAAATATAAATATAACAAATCATTCTAAAGCCTTCATATTTAGAATAGTACGATCATGATCCTTAATGTAATATCGATCTACATTCTCATGATCGAGTAATATCCTATTTTAACAGATTAGACGTCGTATGGGTAAAATAGAGGGTAGATGTTAAAGGGGTAATATTCTGCGCAATAAATTAGCTTGCCATAATGGCAATCAACTGGGTGATCGCGGGGTGATAGGGAAGCGTTACATTTATTGACAAAGTTCACAGCACAGTAGGCCAATGAGTTTACCTGTGTCTAGTACCTTCTATGTGAAAAGATATACATTGAATTAAGTCTCGCGGTCAGTATTAGAATATATCCCTTAAATGCATACCGCTACAGATCTGCAATATACCAGTTACCTTCACATAAAATATTAGCCTAAACATGTTTTATTCTGTGCATCGCGTTATTTGACTGCTACAATGTTAACCTACAGCTTGCGCATGTCTAAGTGACCTAGATGTGTTTTACCGCCAAGCCGATCTCAAATGTGTGCATGGTCACAAGGTTTTTTATCTCAGCATTTTTGGTTGGCGTTCAAAGTTCATCAAAGTCGAATAAACTGGTTTTGGAATTTTAAAAAAATATGCTTCTGACTACCTAAGGTATGCATTACATATCGTATGTGATATTTTGAAAATCAATTCATAATTTATTTATAAATCTTCACAAAACGTTTGTTGCAGTATTGCAACGTTATGCATATTGACCTACTTTTGCACTATTTTTTTTTTACTTTATACATCAGCATTGGTGATTATATAGTACCTTGTTTTTCTTCTAGTTTCAGCATAATCATTAAGAAATCAAAGGTGAATCAAGGTGAAGATTATTATGAAGTAGATGCTCTTGGTGATCCAGCGTATCTTCCTGGATCTCAAGGACCAGTGTGGATCATGGATATCCTATACCAGTGTGGTCCCTGGATATCCTGGACCAGTGTGGACCCTTGATCTTCAGGACCAGTGTGGACCCTGGATCTTTTCAAGACCTGTGTGGACCCTGGATCTCCTGAAAGAGTGTGGACCTTGGATCTCCTGGACCAGAGTGGACCCTGGACCAGTGCGGACACTAAGTCTCGTGGAATAGTGCAATGACAGGTGCAAATTCACATCAAGCTCAATCAGTTTGCCACAAGTGCAACATATATCTTTGTTGTAACAAGATAAACAACTTTCTTAAAAACTATCACCTTACTACATAATGTTGCAGACATGCAACAATTCGATTTTTAATTAAAGAACTTGTTAAAACTAAAAATATTTTTTTACTTGACTATACTCTTCATATACCTCTCAAAACAATATAAAAATATTTTTGTTCAAGCATTATTAAAAAGTCATGCATTTAAGGGATATGTAAGCCTATTGACGCATGTATTTTTTGTTAGTTATAATGTATCACTTCTTTGTTGCAAATGTCTAGACATGTTTCTGTAAGCTACACAAATTACTTACCTTTCAAAGTTGCGGACATCTGAGTCGTTTTGTACACTGACAGTTGGGTCGCTTAGTTCAATTTTGGTGTCGTTTTGTACATCTTGTTTTAGTGCTGTGTATTTAATAAAAATACGATATGTATTAGTATACTGATCCCAAGGGTACATATTCGTTATAATTAATTATTCAAATCTAGAAGTTGATACACATTAATGCAGGCATTTAGCTAATTTTAAATGTAATTTCTAAATAGGTGTTACGTGTATGTTAGTTTTTGTTTAGAGTTTTGGTTAATTGGCACAGATGCTAAAGTGAACCGCATTGAAAAATATATAACAACATTGATAGGGATAGAGTTAGGGTTAAGAGAGGGATTTAGTTACAGTCAGTTTAACAGTAAGGTTTAATTTCAGGCGATAGGCAATGGGCAATTTTAAGAAATGGTTAGAGTAAACGATACTTCTAAAGGTGGGGATAAAATATATTTTACCATAGATGTTTTGGAAAATGTTTGTTAGAAGATTATTGTAAAGGGTGAAGATGGGGATTTAGTATCTGGTTTCGGCAAGACATAATGACCTAATGACAAGTCTTCACACTAAATATTTATGCTGTACTGATTCTAAATTAATTCAACGTTTAGGGATTACTGGAGTTCTAAGATGATAATCTATCCAATTTGTTTATATGCAATGCAATGCGAATTGGAAACAAACCGATAAAACATACAGTATGATGCACATAGCAAACGCCAATGGATCATCGTGTTCAATTAAATTAGCTTAATATACATGTCTAGAAGATATCATTGTTGGTGTAATTTATCTTAATACACTAAATCAGGGGTCTACAAACTACGGCCCGCAAGGTCTTTTTGTCCACGGAAGAAAATGTGTGTTAGAGGTGGCTGAGGAACTTTGCCCAGAAAATTCAAAACAATTTGAATATATATATATATATATATATATATATATATTATATATATATATATATATATATATATATATATATATATATATATATATATATATATATATATATATATATATATATATATATATATATATATATATATATATATTCTTAATATTGATCAATTATAAATACCTTTTTTGAATATAGATATTAAAAAATGAAATAATTTTGTTGATGTTGTTTTATCCAAAATTTTAAAGTTCATTGAAGATAACATATCAATAACACGTTTGTGCTTATTTTCAAATGCAAGAAAACACACATCAATTATTTTCAACAACAGAATCGTTGTTAAGTTAAATGTAATGAGGTAATCTTCAGAATCATTTTTTTGATCACATAAAAATGAAGTGTCTTTAGCTGTTTCCGCTACATAAGTTATGTCTGCTCCATCGTTTATTATAATATCTACCACTTTGTCGTGTCCATTTTTAGATGCAATCATTAAGGCATTCAATCCATCATCTTCCACATGATTTATGTCTGCTCCTGCTTTAATAAGAATATCTACCACCTTGTCGTGTCCATTTCGAGATGCAATCATTAAGGCATTATATCCATTTTGTTTTACATAGTTTATGTCTGCTCCTGCTTTAATAAGAATATCTACCACCTTGTCGTGTCCATTTCGAGATGCAATCATTAAGGCATTATATCCATTTTGTTTTACATAGTTTATGTCTGCTCCTGCTTTAATAAGAATATCTACCACCTTGTCGTGTCCATTTCGAGATGCAATCATTAAGGCATTCCATCCATTATCTTCCACATGTTTAATGTCTGCTCCTGCTTTAATAAGAATATCTACCACCTTGTCGTGTCCATTTTCAGATGCAATCATTAAAGCATTCCATCCATCTTGTTTTACATAGTTTATGTCTGCTCCTGCTTTAATAAGAATATCTACCACCTTGTCGTGTCCATTTTGAGATGCAATCATTAAGGCATTCCATCCATTATCTTCCACATGTTTAATGTCTGCTCCTGCTTTAATAAGAATATCTACCACCTTGTCGTGTCCATTTTGAGATGCAATCATTAAGGCATTCCATCCGATATCTTCCACATGTTTAATGTCTGCTCCTGCTTTAATAAGAATATCTACCACCTTGTCGTGTCCATTTTGAGATGCAATCATTAAGGCATTCCATCCATTATCTTCCACATGATTTATGTCTGCTCCTGCTTTAATAAGAATACCTACCACCTTGTCGTGTCCATTTTCAGATGCAATCATTAAAGCATTCCGTCCATCTTGTTTTACAGAGTTTATGTCTGCTCCTGCTTTAATAAGAATACCTACCACCTTGTCGTGTCCATTTTGAGATGCGATCATTAAGGCATTCCATCCATTATCTTCCACATGTTTAATGTCTGCTCCTCCTTTAATAAGAATATCTACCACCTTGTCGTGTCCATAGTAAGATGCAAACATTAAGGCATTCCATTCATCTTGTCTTATATAGTTTATGTCTGCTCCTGCTTTAATAAGAATATCTACCACCTTGTTGTGTCCATTTTGAGATGCAATCATTAAAGCATTCCATCCATTTTGTTTTACATAGTTTATGTCTGCTCCTGCTTTAATAAGAATATCTACCACTTTGTCGTGTCCATTTTGAGATGCAATCATTAAGGCAATATATCCATCTTGATTTACATAGTTTATGTCTGCTCCTGCTTTAATACGAATACCTACCACCTTGTCGTGTCCATTTTGAGATGCGATCATTAAGGCATTCCATCCATTATCTTCCACATGTTTAATGTCTGCTCCTGCTTTAATAAGAATATCTACCACCTTGTCGTGTCCATTCTGAGATGCGATCATTAAGGCATTCCATCCATTATCTTCCACATGTTTAATGTCAACTCCTGCTTTAATAAGAATATCTAGCACCTTGTCGTGTCCATAGTAAGATGCAATCATTAAGGCATTCCATCCATTTTGTTTTACATAGTTTATGTCTGCTCCTGCTTTAATAAGAATATCTACCACCTTGTCGTGTCCATTTTCAGATGCAATCATTAAAGCATTCCATCCATTTTGTTTTACATAGTTTATGTCTGCTCCTGCTGTAATTAGAATACCTACCACCTTGTCGTGTCCATTTTCAGATGCAATTATTAAGGCATTACATTCATCTTGTTTTACATAGTTTATGTCTGCTCCTGCTTTAATAAGAATATCTACCACCTTGTCCTGTCCTTTTTCAGATGCAATCATTAAAGCATTCCATCCATTTTGTTTTACATAGTTTATGTCTGCTCCTGCTGTAATTAGAATACCTACCACCTTGTCGTCTCCATTTTGAGACGCAACAGTTAAGGCATTAAATTCCTCTTTTTTGAACTCATTGCTCATTTTTATACAATGTAGAATGTA